TCAGTCTCATCATCATCTATATTCGTATTCATCAATTATTATCAAAAGTTTCAATTGTTCTCACATGCAATACATATGCAACTTTAGTCTTAGGATCTTTGATGATGTTGATTATCTATGGTTATAGTATATATGGTGATTTAAATTCTTGTGATTCTTGTAATAATTATTTGTGTCAATTACGAGCATATTTTCTTCATGTTTTTATTTGTGCATATTTTTATTCATGTCTTCTCCAAGCTATTTTTCGACTATTTCGAATAGTTTTCTATAAACTAAGGAGATTACAATCACCTGGCTTTTTTTTATTGCAATGTTTATTCAATGGCTTATATCTTTTCTTTATATTCTTGTTCATCTCTTTGGCTATAATTTCGAATATTCATCTTTTGCACATGGTTGTTGGATTTCTTTTAAAAATATTCGTGCACTTTTTCAAGCATTAATAATCATGTATTGTGGTCCTATATTCAGCATATGCTTCATGTATGCATATATTATTCGACACACACGTCGAACAATTCATGTTCAACAACAACGGCAAACTCATAATAAACGAGATTTACAAGTTCTTAAAAATATTGTAATTCTTGTACTTGCTGCAATGGGTGTTGGTATAGCTACAGTATTTACATTGATATACTATATTATTACTAACCATTTAATTCCCATTGCTTATCATTTACAAGGATTGAGTATATCTGGTGGATTTCTTTTGGGATCAATTGGTTTTGCATTGATTACACCACAAATATATGAGACAATTAAAATAAAACGACGAATAACTACTGTTGTGACGACGATCAGAGAAATTCCTCGAACAACAAATCAGACAATGTGAATAGAAACTCTTGTTGTATTTAAAATTGAAATTTTAAAATAAATAAGACTAGAAGTCAGTCGTTTCCTTAGTTATAAATCGTAGTCATGTAGAAAGATATTGTATGAATATCTATATCTTCCTATGAATTTCTTATGATGTTAAATGAATGTGAAATAAATGTTTTGTGAACAATCAAATATCAAGTTGGGGCTTGCGAATACTGTTCAAGTGTAAAAAACTCGCAAAATCAGTAGTTGAAGTGCAAATGGAATTTAGGTGAAGCTCAATGAAATGGCATACTTCGCTTGTACACGATTCGTATTTCGAACCCATACCCTATTATACCAAAACATAATAAAATGATTTGACTGTATTTAATTGATAAGATTAACATAAAGAATTGTTTAAATTGAAATTAAATA